CTGTGAGTTAGAAACCAACGAGGTTACGAAAGTTGGTGTCAGGAGAGAGTCCTCTAGGCCATGTTTACGAAAGCAGGAGAACTCCTTCCATCGAGGCTGTCTGGGGACGTTGGTCATTTCCTCAGTGTTGAGCTGTGAGTTAGGGTAGGGTATGAAAATATCCTGTACAATCCCCAGATCCCTTGGGTGTTATATTCTGAAAGATTTCTTAATAGTGTTGGAAGTGTTTCTGTTAACAAGGGAAACATCTTAATTGACAAGCATGTTTTATTTTCCATCATACAACTGCCCTGACACATCTGTTGCTATGGGTACTACCTCATGACTTGCCTTTTTTGTTTTTAGGACTTTCTCACATATTCTGGTGATATAGCCTACTGTGTCTAACATGTTACCACAAGGCTGAAGTTGTGTTCAGTTGTTGTTGTTTTTTAAATATAAATGCTTGTTGCACTATTTATTTACAACTATGACCTTTATTATAACTTCTAGTTACACTACTTCCTACAGTCACAGGGGGAAAACCTAAGATCCACATTCAAGAGCTTGAAGTTACAGAACTAAACCTGCTGCCAGGACAAAACTATTTAAGGGGGAATTGAATCAAACATAGTAGAATAAGTGCGCTTTGCACCAATCATTTTTTCTGGGGGGATTCCTTAAACATGCATGGGATGATAAAGGGGACTTGTTTGACCCTGGGAAACAGCTGAGCCACAGTTGTACATATACAGGACATGTCCCTGGCTAAAGTTAGTTGACTTGTTTATCTTACATGTCACATGGCACTTATAAAGCCAAGCCTATTCACAGTCACACAATTGCACATTCATTGTACTGTGTCTATGAACAATGGACATTTCACTGCCTTCCTGTTGTTCCTGATAGCAAAGATGAAATCATAACTGAAGTCAGTGTGATGTACGTCCTTCGCATCAACAAAATGGTTGATGAACACCTTTTGTGGATATCCCACTCAACAGGCCAAGTGAAACAATCGTATGAGTGCCCACACTGACCACACTGCATCCCATATTGAATTCGCTGCTATGTAAATCCCTTTGCAGAGAATAACATAGTGCTTTTGCACTAAAGGTGGACACATGAATGTGTGGTGCTTGTATTAACGAGCAGCTGACTCAAATCACAACACAGATGCTTGTTGATAAATGGCTCGCAGTGAGCCAGAAAAACTTTATTTTTCTGTGTTGACACTAGAGCACAACACTTCAATCACAGATGTGGATATTGTTGTTGATGTAGGCAGGGGTGTTGAAATTAATCATTTCTACGATGCGGATGTGGCAATTCTGCATCGATGCAGGGACAAAACATAGTCGATGCTGACCAGGGTTAGAGATTAGCATCTGCCACCTGCCAAATTTGGGTGTTAAGTGTAAAACATAGTTGATGCTGACCAATTTTAGAAATAAGCATCTGCCACCCGCCAAATGCTAGTGGTTAGTGCAGTGTCAGGTGAATTTGTTTAATCTACCGGCCACAGTGGCTAGTAAACAAAAGTAATGTAGGCTGAAAATTGAATCCCAGTCCTCTACGTGCTCTTCTCTGATTTTAGAGCAGAGCCAGCTTGTGCTGCACGCACACCAACCACAGGGCTCCACCTCCTCAAGTCAGAGCAACTGTCAGTGTTTACAATGATAGGCTATGTGCTGAAAATAATTTGCTTGGTGTCTCTTTAGCCAAGCCCAGCACAGATTTGCTACTCCTTTCACCGGGTCTACCTGCTGAAGGTGTGCTTGAACTGATGTATCACTGTCTTAAGTCCAAGATGATTTAAAAAGCAGGCTGTGGCGGTGACTCAAGGTAAAGGAGCGGCTGTATTGTTACTTACGACAGTGTTACAGTGTTGAAGACCGCTAACATTTGAATAACAGGAAAAACATTTGGGCTAGCTTGTCAATTAGGATTCTAATTAAAGCACAAATACAAAGCTGATTAAACACAAGGTAGTAACATCATGAAACAAAACATGCTCTATTATCTACATTATTCTTAATGTACAAATTGAGCATCATTGGGTATAAAAAAAAAATCTTACTGCTAATTGAGACCAGAAACTCAATGGGAAAAGTGATAAATCAAGTGAGAAGTAGAGTAATTTTCTCATGGACATCCATTCATTTATTATTATTTTTTTGCATTCAGTGATATCACTCCTGATGACCATCAAAAACAATTAAGCTAAAAACACTTAAGCTCCGTTTCAAACAAGCGATCTGGTTTGGTTCAGGACAGTTTGGTACAGTAAACCCTGATCTCGCTTCAGTTTCCACAGCCAACAGTTCCCCTACACATTACTAATTCACAGCGGCCAATATAGTCAACAAAGAAGAAGAACGCAACAAATTAAACACAAATCAACTATTGCTAGGAAGGTCTGCATCTCAGAGGTGGCCCATGATGCGGAGCTACATGCTGACAATAGTCGCAAAAAAAAAAAAAAAAAAATCAGCCCTGAAATGACTCTCTCCAAATCCAAAGTATATGGTGTATTTTGTGTTGTTGTTTATTACTGCTGTGGAACAGGAAGTGAAGATTCCCAGACTGCAGTGTGTCAAGTGCCATCCTTTAGGGTTGGTTCGGTACGCTTGGCACCCCAACAGAAGGGTATCAAAAAGTAGGACGGCATGTATCAGTTATGTTGTTACCCTGCCCAACTTTTGACGTTGGAAATACCAATAAATGTGTACCGAACTGGACCTGAATGCTAGGGGAAACGTGGCTCCAAGTAGAGGCTTCACTTTCAGCCATAGAGTGTAGGTCCTTCTGAAGAGTAATTGATTGTTCTCGAGAACTTAGTGTACCAGTGTGTATGAAGAGGGAAGAACACATCTAAAACTTTAAAATTCAGCCAGTCTAATAACTCAAGACCCTTTGACAATCCTTTCATGACCAAGACACTAAAATGTGTCTACATTGGTGCCCTTCAGTAAAGGAGAAGTTATAAACATTACTGTTGTTCAACCTCAAAATTGTGCTGAAAGAATCCCAGCTCTATCATAAGTTCATTATATGTTATAATTATATTCCCCTGTCCAAATAAATGGGTTTCATGTTGTGGTGATGATGCAAGTTGATGTGTTGATAATTTGGTATTCAGAATCTGTGTAAAAATAGTATAATACTGAGTTATATGACAATTTCTGTGAACTCAGCCCTATGATCAAAGTAGGAAGTGTTGTTGCCACAAGCTTTTCCTAGAGAAAATCATCAGCATTTCATGGTAGTGGTCTGGCAAAGCCACACTACAACTAACAAGCTCAAGTATAACTTATTGTTTTTTCAAAGCATTATCTACATTTTTGCAGTTCTAAAATTGGTAGCAAAAACCCTCGCAACAAGTGGACGGTGTGTTCATTGGGGTTTTGCTAAGATTGATGTTAATGTGATTATCAAATCCAAATAATAAGCTAAAAATGATAGCTAACTGAGTCCACAGACAGTGTTTTTATCTGGTTGACGGAGCTAGACATGTAAGCCTCTTTGGATCATTAGCATTCTTCTGGTCAAGGATGACTCACATCAGAGTCGTTAGCTGAGCTCCGTCCACCAGAAAGTTTAGATCTGAAGAAGCCTTTCAGAGGAGAAGTGAAACGTTTTCAAGCTCTTTAAACTGTCCAGTTGCCTTTGGAACAAGCTTCAAATTTACCTAGTCTGAAGTGAAGAATTATAGCAGACTTCAAGATGATCAAGCCAATTTTGGGTAGATGGAATTGTCTAAAATGTATCGCATGCCGCTAAATCAAATCAAAATGGTATTGTGGCAGATTTTGGGATATCAGCCAATATTGTATTATGTCCAAAGAATGAATACATCTTATTGTGATCAAATTGGTGGTTAGAAAACGGCTTCCAATGCTGTCGAAGTAAACTGCCCTTCAACAAAAACATGTACTTTTTTAATAGTCTCAAACTATAAAAACTCATTGATACCAATCAGTTTGTTTACGCTGGATATGTCTTAAAGCAATATACTCTTGGCTGTGCTTAAATGTGTGATATTGACACCATTGAAAAGTGTGCAGAAAGATGTGGGTTAAAATACTCCCTGAGGGGTTATTGCTTCATTAAAACATGAAGTACATAGTCATAGTCTTGATGGATCTAATAGGGCCTGCATTTTATGGTTACACAAGGATGGGAAAAAAATGGGAGAGGTGGGGAAAAAAACGTTCTTCAGAAAATCCAAGTTATCCATTTAGCTAAATCTAATTTAGTAGACAACATTTGATAACTTAATGGTGTTAAATGTGTAAAATGGTGCTAATTTTCCCCCAAAATGAAACCAAGAGCTCTGAATTGTCTTTATAGGACTTTAGCTCACGAACGTTTTTCCAAAGCATCACAACCTTTAAAAAATGTGGTGTTGAAAGATAGAAATTCACAAATGCTTCAGGCCACTACTAGTTCAACTGGTTTGTTTTCAAATTGCTACAAACAGTTTGAAACTTGTAGATTTCTTTCCCAGAGGCATTTAGGTAATTACAGTCATCCAACATGTCTGCAGCTAAGTTATTTTGTCAAAAGCAAATGTTTGCAGAGTGTGTGTGCCCCAAATTTGACCAAAGACCAACAGAAGCGTGAACAAAAGTCCTGACCAACCAGAACCAATGTTGGAGGCAATGTTTTAAATCATGGCATATCACTTTAATGTATTTCGGGGGTTTATCTCTGGTGCAGCCATTTTGGAAGGAAGTTGCTACTCTTTTATCTCTTTTTTTTAACTATACCTTGGCAAAATCCCGGACAATCTCATGTCACACGTTAAGTATATCTATAAAGTCCTTCTGGTTGCAACTAAGAAAGCCATCACATGGTAGTGGCTACAGGTAAACCCGCCATTAAAGGATGATTTGTTGACAATATGTTTTGACAAATGTATGGCCCATGTTAGCACTTTTTTCCTTGATTTATTCTGAAAACATCAATAAAAAGAAAGTATCAAAAAACAACTCCTGACCAACAGAAGAGCTCATCAGTAACAGTTGGATACGTGTACTTTATTCATATCTCATATATGTTTTTTTACATTTATACAAAAATACAGAATACAGTAGAGTTTTCACCCAGAATATTAACTGGGCAATAATTACATTTGCTTTTTGGCACCCAGACTTATTTCCTGCCCAGAGCCATTTGATTTACCCACAAAGTGTGATGCATTTGATCACTCAAGCCTGTTCAAGATGATGCTCTGCTCACTCTCAGACCACAACCCACAATGGAACAGTATTGAAGGACGGTCATTCTCTCAACAAATGCATGAAATCACTCAGTTTTAGGCGTCCATGCATCAGACATGACAACTGTTTGTTGCTCTCGCATAGACAGGAAAATGGGAGACCTTGTTTTCCTTTTTTTCACAGCTTAGACCTTGCAGCTCATGACTATGTAAAAAGCAATTTGACATAGCATCGTTTTGTTGAGTTTGTTTTTGGCTAGGCTAGCCTGTGTCTGTCAGAATAGCGGACATAGAGCATAATAGTCTTCATGTAAAGAAGTGAAACGGTAAGATAATCGTATAGAAAGTCTCAGGTCTAAACTGCAATTGATAGTACAGTCCAATGTTCTTCAAAAATGCATTTTTGAATAGAAACAGTCAGCTAAAAGCTTTGAAATAGATTTACTTTACCACATGTGTAGTATTTGATATTCAACCTTAAAATATATGAACACCAATGTGGTATAAGCTCTTTTACATAGTCGGGTTTAAACTGCCTAACGGTTTATAGCACAGGGAATGCATAGCTGTAATATAAGGATCTCAAAAATGCATGTTTGAATGATTAAATTATCTCGCGGTTCAACACAACAAACAATACTTAACCACACCAAAGAGTTCCAGCTATTGATGCTGAAAGGTATGGTTGCTCTTAACTATATATGAACACCAATGTGGTATACTTTTTTTTCTCAAACACAGATTCAATTTTGCACATTTTACTTTTGTCTCCTATTAGAAAAATTCCCAACGTTTAGTCCAAAATACACAAGAATCAAGCAGAGTTTAAGTGTTTTCTAAAGGTTACAAAGGCTAACATGTAACGTGGACAGAAATGTCACAAACACTGAAGTTTATTCCGCCTATAGGGTTTAAGCACTGCCTTTTTTCAGAAGACTGAAATATAACACGGCACAGGCCAAACTAACTAAACTGTCATGGTTCTGAGTTCCTTTAAAAGGGACAGAGAGAAGGATCCTACGTTTCCTATCTGTTGGGTTTTTTGTAGTGAGACATTCTAATCTGCAGGCTTTTGACATTTACACACAGAGTCAATCACACTAATCAAACAAGGCACAAAACCAAGCATGGACATGGTATAATGTAAGACCACAGACATGATAAAAAATACTCAGACTAGTTACAGATTTTATGTCCTACCACATTGTCATTGTCAGCTTATCGCAGCAAGGCGGCTTGATGGGAAAGGTCACAGCCAGCGTGCCCTGTTACCACTCCTAACTCTTTACAGACAGTCAAAAATTCTCCACAATCATCTTAAAACCTGTAATCCATTATTGATCTACCTTACTTTGAATTGGCAAGGCTTTGTGGGAGTTTGCCCCTCTTCAGATGGTTTTAATCCCTTTTCTCTTAACAGCATGTGTTATCTCTGGGAGAAGGAGAGCCTCCAGGTACTAATTTACAAGATCTGAGTGCATTGCAGAAAGACTAAACAGGGAGGGGCACATCAGTTTTACATTGGAATGAGTCTTAGGGCTTCTACATGTACTTTAACCATATACCTTTGGTTTAAATATCATCCTGTTTACAGTTTGTATTACAGTGCAACTTTAAGGCAAAGATTGATATTTAGGATGGCAATTTCATGTAGTGACATTTTTGGACTTTGAACATACCGATGCATATCTGTACATTTCATGGTGGTATAATCCTTTACAATTGATTAACAATAAAACTTTTATGGATGCACTAAGCCAATTGTCCAAATTAATGTTTATTTTGCAAGCGCAACACTGGTGCTGCACAAAGGTCAATACCAGTAAAGACAGAGTGTACAGTCTAAGCTAATGGGGTTCGTTCTGTGAGTACATTAGGTCAGAGTAAACAGTCATGAATGAATAGCTCAATTTAAAATTAATTCCAATCCCTGCCCCTATTTATTTTTAAGCTTACTCTTTTTTATTTCTTTTTACACAACCGATTTAATTATTTGTAGAATTTGAGAGATCTCCTTTAATAGGGGAATGGCATTCATAAATCTCTTCTGTAACAGCATTTGCTTTGCAAGCATAAAGTTGAGATAAGTAAAAAAACAAATAAAGGCATTGTTGAGCTAACATTAACTTAAAGAGTTGAACATATGAGTGACACCTATGGTCTGAAATAAACTTATTAAAAGACAAATCTTGGATCCACAGAAGTCGTTCCTGTTAGCAGAGTGAAGGTTTCAGTGGTTTAAATGTAAGCTAGTCAAAGCAGCATGTTTTGTCTTTAAGTGATTGTTCTTCTATGTAATGCATTACATATAAATTCCCCGAGTCATACAAGCCAACATCAACATCATACGAGGAATTGAAACTTGGGCAGGAATGTTTTTTTAAGGGGGGGTTTATGATGTGTTAGTATAGAGGTTGTTATTTAATCCTGACCCATTTGTAAAGGTGCTTGTAAATGTTGATTGAAACATTTCAGTTGTATAGACAGCAGCAGCTCAGTGCCACCACCAATAAATAAATACATCATACAGCCCTGCAGATACATGCCTAAACCAGACAAGATGACTATATCTTGGAACTACAATGTCCAACATTTTATTCTTTGGGAAATGGGATGTGGTTAACTTGAGGGTCACCAGAGGTAGTAACTCATGCCTTAGTCCATTCCAAAGATAACTAGTGTCAGTCACTTTTCTTTGTCAATGAAGTTGAACTGGTTGCCCTCCCAAAACACAGGTAGACTGTAGCAACTTGCTGAGCAGGGAGCAACGTTTTCTCAAAAAAGTTCATGAAGCAGCAGGTTCTGATGGTTGTTTCGTGGAAGCCAGAGGATCCATTCGGGGTGTGGTATGGGGAAGTCTCTCGACTAACATCTCACAGTCTGTTGAAAGCATGGGGTGAGCGCAGTCTTACAAGAAAGGCAAGCTTATCCATATGGGAGCAGATGTGGTTTAACCAGAATAATTATGGCATACTGTGAATCTGCCATCTTGAATCAGGATTCAGCTTCGTGTTTGTTGTTCATCACCTTTGTACATCAATAGGAAAAAAGAGTAGATCCCTGTAAAGAGAAAATATGTTCAGGCTGGTTTATAGAGCTTGTTACCCTGATATAAGACAAGAGGAATTGTATTTGTCACTAAAAATTGAATGAAGAGTCTCACCAACTGTGCTGAAAAACATTGAAGGGTAGGAGGGTTACACTGTTTCAATGACGTTCAACTTGTTCCTGTGAGGAAGACAGAGAGAACACATTTAAAACTCTGCCTCTTTTCTTTGCAAGCTGACTGATCAGTCAAGACTGACTGGTTTAGTCATTCATTACAGTATAAGTGGACAAAAACAACAAATCAAAGGGAACTCAGGCCAAAAAACCCCCATTAATTTGTTGATGAAGTTGATATAAGAATTCCAGTCCCTGAGGTGTCGGTGGTGTAGTGCTTAATGAGTGCGTCCCATGTACAGAGGCTGTGGTCCTCCAACATGTCATTCCCCACTCTCTCTCTCCCCCATTTCTGACTCTATTCACTGCCCTGTCTCTAAAATAAAGGCACAAAAAGCCCCAAAATAAATCTTTAAAAAAATCATATAATACTAGTGTGAAACCCGAATGTTGCCAAGCAACCCAAACGTTTTCCTCCCTGCCTTGCTATGAATAGCTTGGTTGATCAAGCTAACTCTGATTGGTTCTTTGATTCAGACCTGATAAGGCGCTGACAGACACAGATCAGACTCACATTTATTTCAGGAACATTTCAATTTAATATTATCAGTGACATGAAATTATGAAATATTGTTATCGTAAGTGCAATTTTAATGAATAATATAATATAATTTAAACAGTTTTTAAAAAGTTGTCCCTGAAAATGTTAAGGTTCATTTGCGTTAATGTTGAAGGAATTTTAAATTCAGCAGTAAATAAATTAAACTTTAAAGCTTAATTTTGTATCTGTACTTTTTTTTTTAGATATCCTGATTGATTAGATGATTTCTTGAAAAACATTCAGCTTTTTTTTCCATCCCACTCATTTCACATTTCGATTTCTGACTAGAATTTAGTTTGTTAACGATGACATTGTGGTTGTATTACATGTCTATTTATTGTGTGATTTCCATATTAGCTCTTTACTTGTTTCTACCACATCCACAAGGTCTTTTCTTTATTCCTAATATGTGTTGTTTTATGTTTTTTTTGTGTTAAACCAATAAATAAAGCTAAACATTAATTGGATATTGAGCCACTCTGCATGGTGTCACTGGTAGTGGAAGAGTTGCCTGTCAAAGTCTTGTACTGACTTGAAATGCATATAAAGTGGTTAAAAACTCACTTTTCTGATATTTCAGCATCTAGTGGAGGCGCAGTCCCTTCTGTTCCTGTGAAATGTCCAACTTCTCCAGGATTCTGTTCAAGATCCTCCCCATTCCTCCGTGATCGGACCTGTGAAAAAGGTAGGCAATCACATTTTATGCCACAGTTCTCAGTTCCAGCTGAAATCACCATGACTCAGTCTGCTCAGCATCTGCAGTTGAAAGGCTATTTGCCGGCTATCATAAATTCCATGAAACAAAGCATTATCTCCCGACGGCAATGTCTGGGGTCAAAGATCAGCTCACCTTCCACACAAGCAGGAATACCAGAGCTAGGAGTGGAATGAAGAGTAAAGAGAGAAGGCTTCGCTCCACCAGCTCGTTCAGGGAACTCGGTTCATGATCTGGGGCAAAATGAGAGAGAAAAAACATTACTTTCCATTCCCAATTCTGTTTCTTGTTAGAAAACAACAACAACAACTGATTACACAAATAAGATGAATGCTTTATCATGATTTGATTTATCATTTGTGTGTTTGTGTGTGTGTGTGTGTGTGTGTGTGTGTGTGTGTGTGTGTGTGTGTGTGTGTGTGTGTGATCAAATGTTCGTATTTTGAAGGAGGTTAAATTAAATGTCTAAATCATTAGCCCGTACATCTCATAAATATCTCCTTTGTTCTCCATAACACAACATAACTATAACTTGGTTTGGTAGCAGCACTAATTAAGTTCAATTTGGTAAGTACTCTTCTTAATTAAGCTCCTTAGAAGTCACAGTGTTTAATATATGACTTAATATATTTCAATGTTGAATTTATACTTTACAATATTTCAATATTTCCTGTCTGTCTTTGATACTTTGATAAAAATTAAGGAAAATCTTTCAGACTTGGTTACAATGCTTGTGTTAGTGTTCAAACACCACAGCTTTGACATCGTCATCAGTCGTGATGAGGAATTTGCTCTGCAGAGCATCAATAATGAAGTGACAGCAGCTCCTGGGAAAGTTTTCGAAAATGTGTCAAAAATTATAGACGGCTAAAGCTGCCACTTTGACACACCAGCTGGACTGGTTTGAAACCTGATCACAGGTTTTTTTAGAAATAGTAGGAATTGCGAACTTACGTGGTTTGCAGCCTGTTGCACACTCTGAGACTTTAGTTCTTGTTGTGGTTGAATCTGTCAGAGGGAGAGACAAAGTAAAAGAAGAGATGTGTTGGTGAGTTTGGGGTTACGAGAGGCGACATGCAGAAAACGAGAGGAGGGGGGGGGGCAAGGGTGGAAAGGGTGGAAAGTTTCTTTGTCAGGTGCTAAAAAGTTAACTCAACGATACCTTTTTTTTTTTTTTTTTTACCCCTCTCACACACATAAAAGATCTGATCTGACCACTCTGGCAAAGAAAAGCTAGGCGCTTGGGAAGATTGGAAGATTGCTCTGTAATCAACACGTACACAATCAGGTTTCGGCCCTTTTCTTCCTTTTCATATGCGGCGCCTGGGGACATCTTCCCTCAGTCCTGTGACTCAGCCGCGTCTCAATGGGCCGTCTACGCACTGAGACCGTTTTCAGTTTTTATCTCGAAAGTTCTTGTGAAGGAATAATGGTTCCTGGATTAAAAGCTTCTCTAAACAGCCACAAGAGATCTGTCCTAAATACAACCTGTTCACAATAGTCCACAGGGGGTGGTGTGATTTATTTTTTACTGAAAAAAGTGAGTGTGTAACTGGAATGTTGCTGTTTTGGACTGTGTGTGAGGTTTGACCTACACTGTCAATTTCATTAAAAAGATTAAAGATTCGCTAAACAAATTATAGATAGTTTTCCTATAACACTGGCAGTATTAACTTTGTGGTTTTCCAACCACTAAAAAAAGACTTCTCAACCGTTGAATTTCTCACCAGAAACTGTTTTCTAGTTAAACTACTTCTTCCATTCCAAACAGGTTCTCCAAAAACAAGTTTCAAGGGAGCTGTAGGTACAGAGATTATATCAAAAAACTGTCAAAGACTTGAGGTAAGTGAGAAAATGTGCAATTTTTTAAAAGCTCTTCAGTTCCACAATAAATCTTGAAAGTTGAGCAAAATTCATTCAAATCATCTAACGTTTGAAGAGAAAACCCAACCCCGCAAATCACACACACACAGGTTGGCAGCCTCTCAGATGAACTTTTCTCTTTTCTCCTGACAGATTGCACCGCTGGAACTCACTGACTTGCACACATGATCATGAAAGCCTGAGTTAAAAACTGCTATCTTCATTGTAACAAATTAGAGTTGTGAGATTAAATATGAAAATTCTGCAGTTTTTCCTTAGAAATGGAAGGACTCAATTCCTATCCAAATGGTTGAGACCCTGCACATTGTTCCCCAGATAAAAGGTTGAACACCACATGAAGACACAAATCTAAACTTAAAAGTGTGACATCCTGGGGTGCTGATAGCCTAGTGGGTAGTGAGCGCACCCTGTTAGGAAACAGTAAGGTTCTTCTTCTTCATCCTTATCTGTCTGTTTTGTTAATTACTTTGGACTGGTTTTCATTGGGAAAATAGAGAATGGGTTTAAGCTGTGTTTACTGGATTGTCCGATAGTCTTGAATGCACCATTCCTGAGGTGCGCTCAGAGCGGTGCTCTGTCGCTTTAAATGACGTAATAAGACAGGTGAAGCTGACGAGGGACCCGTATGGATGGCAAATTGGAAAAACTGAACTCAAAGACAAAGCTTGGGCTCATCGCTCTAAAAGCTGTCCGGTGCGATCAGGCCGCCGGTGCCCCGGCAGACCTGCATGTAGGTGAGCTGACCTAACCTTATGTTTTCCCTGTGTGTGAATCAGTCCTTTCCGTACCTGTCATCTCTTGACTTCTCCGTCACACTTCAGGTTAGGGCTAGTTTTTGTTGTATGTATATGTGTAGCATATATAGGCTGCAGTCCTCCAAGCAGTCACATGTTTAAATCACACCTTGTAGCTCCTTTCCCGCATGTCATTCCCCACTCTCTCTCTTTTCCTGGTTTCTGACTCCATCCACTGTCCTATCTCTCAAATAAAAGCCCCAAAACAACCCTTTCAAAAGAGGGTGATCCCCAAACAGAAGTTAAAACATCTGCTCTCTCCGGGTAAAACTTGACTGACTGACAGATCTCTTGCCAGTCTTATCATTTTGTTTCAGAATCAATCCCCCAGATGGGATGAGTTCTCAGCATGCAGGTGTGTGCATGTTAAAATTTAAGCACTCAAATGTCAGTTCAAACTGTTATGTAGAAGCTTTTCTCCAAAAGATGTAAAATCACAGCTGTGTGTGGATTTAGTTTTTACTGTACTGAAAGTATTTCTTTTGGTCTCTGTGAGTGCAAAGGGTTTTCTCAGACGAAGGCTTTACCTCATAAATCTGTTAAAATCAACCACCAATTTAACTGCTGATGCGGCAAAAATGTTTACCGACGGTGACAAAACAAGAGGAAACCAGATATATAAAAACAAATCTCTGTAAATTTGAAACATTTCAAAAAGGTTTTTCCACATGCTGATTAAAGTGTGCAAAACATCCTTAGAATAATATGAACTGAGGAAATGATCTGCAGTGGCTCCTTCCTTCAATCCACTTTTAACACTGATGAATCAGGATAGCAAAAAGTGTGACCTCTCTTCGCTGCACCCACGTTCATCTGCAGACTAATATACATAAATGTAGCAAGCTTTTGTTTAATGCTTCCTTAAACACTACATTAATATTTTCTTTTTCAACATGATAAAATCTTATCTATTTACTGAATATTTGAGGACTATAAAGTATTGTTTAGAACGCTTAATTTAATCATTTGCTTTTTTTTTTAAACTTCCATTGTTCTCTCTTCTAAAAGAGTTTATAGTTGTATTCGTTGATAACTGCGCAACAGTGGAAGTGATAATTATAGATAACTGAGTTCAGACACGTACCACGAGATAAAAAACCCCGCTCTCTACCATCCTGTAAATCCAGGTGACTGTCTTCAATATGTATTGTCAATAAAGTTCCACCAACCATTATCAAATGAAAAAAAACAGTTAAAAAGCAGTCAACAAAGAACATTATATATTAAAGAACATTCACCTGTTAAATATGTTTTTGTGGTTTCTGTGTATGGTGTGGTGGGACAGGTGGGAGGCACACAGTCCTCTGAAACTTCTCTATTCTGTGCGGCTAGAAGAAATTCTTTGACAAAGTCAAAGTATCGCGCTGTCTGCCACCTCTCTTCCCTGAAGTGGCACTCAAAGTCATACATGATCAGGTCCTGCACAAACCACACAAAAAAACACAGTTCAGGGAGATTAAGCGTCCTCTTTGAAGAGATCAGTTCAATTATTAACTTTTTATTTGAGCTTTAAATCTCTACAGGAAATAGTGACACAGTGTGTTTGAAAAGCCAGCCAGGGTAAAAGGCAAGGCAAGGCACTCATAAAAACAAACTCATAATATACAAGGCAGCCATTTGTGCAGTGTAGTAAAGGCCTGTGTCCACTAATGGCGTTTTTTAATGCTAGAAATGTCCACAACCTTAACTTTAAAACACTTTTCAAAGGCGCCTACTGTTGCTAGGTTACAAACATTGACTAGTGGCATTTCCCCTTGCAGATGCTGAATGTTAAGCCAGTTTAAAATTACTCTGTATGTTTATTCAGAATAATCCACCAAGAAAACATTTAAAAAAAAAGTGCAACCATGAATCATGGTCTTGCATAGGCAACAGCTCTACGCCTGGAAATTGTACCCTCCAAAAGACATGTAAGATGAGTTCCTAATCCACCTTTGTTGTTAACAAGTTGGTAGCAGAAGTCCAACCCCTTCTTTTTTGTTCTGATTAGTCGTTGTTGGAGTAGTTACATCAACAATCGGAAGTGTCTGAGCTATTTTCAACCTAGAGTGCTGCGAGCATTGCAAAAAATATTTTTAAAAAAACAGCTGATTCTTAAGGTGTATTTGAGCTCAGGATGATGAGCGCTGACAACACTGAAGTACATCGAATTTGAGTAGAAAAAAGCAAGTGCAAAAAACGGCGATAGTGGATACAGGCCCCAAAGGTTTCCAAAAATGTGGTGTTTTTCATGCAAGCTAGTAGTATTGGCAGTTAAATTTCAGATTTCATTCAGGCATATTCAGTGTGATGGCTGTGTGACGACAAGGTTGTGTTTGTTCTGTGTATGTAATTGGACACATTCAATATGTTTATTGTACTGCACTGACTTACCACAGTCCGCCAATTGAGCCGCAGTTCTTGGAGCATTTCGATGAATATCTTAATATCCTTTCCGTTGGATGAAATGTTTCCAAACTTATTTGCTAAATCTTGTAAACTCTCCTCCAAGTAGAAGACATTTAATTTTACCCAACACATCCCAGCCTAGAAGGAGCGAAAAGACAGAAACATGGTTTAAAAAGTTCAGTTGTCATTAATGTAGGATAATAAAGTACATTGTATGCAAATCAGATTTATTAGTTTGCAGTGAACAGATACCAAAATATCTTACCTCTTCTTTTGAAACGTAACGTACAGGAATTTTGTAATCTTTAGGAATATTTTGTCTCTGTAAAAAAAAAAAAAGAAAAGAGAAGAAACACATTTAATTGCAGACATTTTGCAGATAAATTAATAGTCTGGCTGCAATGACTAAAGGTGAGTGCATTCAATCAAAGTTTTAAAGCTTGTTTTTGTCATAGAAATGTTTCTTGTTAAAAAATGACCATACTTTACTGTTTATTTATCCTTTTAAAGGCACCAAACTACATATACAAAGACAGTAGTTTACCATTCAGAACATGGGGGCTGCTTGTTTACCGCTCTACTCATCAGCTTTTTTTGTTTGTGTTATTGTTAGGCTTTGGCGTTTCTAAATGGTTAGCTCAGTGCAAACACATTACCTACATAAGACTAACCCGGCAGGGCGGTAGTAGAAGAGCAACTCCTATTGTCTTGGAGTATATTTACAATTGTATTCAAAGGAGTCTATTGCTTTTTAGGGAAGCTGTTAATCGGTTCAAAAAGCTAGTTAAAGTACTTATTCTTGACACAATGTTTTTAGACGCTTAGCTTTTGGTGGCAAAAAACTGTGGTCATACTTCAGGGCTAATCAGGCTCGACTGCCCAAAAAGAATTACATTGTAGCCATTACAGACTATTTTGTAGCAACTGATACACTGGAGCAGTTTCAACACTTACTAGCCATTAAGAACTGAAAATGTCTGACCAGTTTTAAAATAATGACAATTCTCCTTTATGACTCAAGTGAGAGCTTTGTACTGTTTAACATCAGTTGGCCTAGGGTACTGGACAGGATATAATTATAACATTATCATTACCTAATGTGAATGGAAATTATGTAACACAGTCATACCTCTGTATGACCAGTCGGGCATTGGGTCTACCATAGTAAAATATGATGGCTTAATTTCAATGCTTGCAGAAAGAATGTAGTGAAAGGGCTGCATAAACCAGGACTGTGTCTATTGAATGTTCTATTTTTTAAAGTAATGTTTAACCAGTGATATTAACTGTAAGTGATGTATGATGGTTAGTTACATAACAGTTAAATAATAGACTGTTACAACAATCGATTGTTGTCCTTACCAAAATCAAGAGTCTAGAGATGTCATCTGTCACTGGGTTGACGTCAAATCTACTTGAATGTACCCCAAGCGTGATGAACAGCAGTAAATGGACACAAATGCGTATCCAAATCTGTAAGTCAAAAGACACAACAGTTAGTTATGACACAAAGTCACATATCCTACATACAATATAAAATAATTCCCATTTCATAAAATGAATATTTAACAACCGAAAAAGTTGAAAAAGGAAGCCAATAAGTAAGTGCAAAAAATTGTTCTTCCAGGATTGTCCATTGATGTCTGGCTCAAAAAGCCCCAGAAGTCCCATTAACGGCATGTTAAAATGCTCACCTTCACTGCAGAAATAACCATGTTTATAGTCTGATTCAATAAAATATATTTTGATATGTGTAGCTTGTGTTGTAGTTTATTTTTACACACTGTGGGGAGGGGGGGGTTACATTTGTAATTACTCTTCGGTTTTGATTTTATGAGGCTAAGAGTTTACATTTGGGGCATGGTTGAGCTGAGTGACAGCTGGTTGCATTGAGGCTGTTTGCCAGTAGGCCTTAGGCCATCTTCAGCTCCACCTCTTTGCCGGTTTCTAGGTAGAGAGTGCAATATGCTGTGACCACCATCATTGTGCTTTGAACCCCGCTTCAGAAACCAATGGGTGACATCACTGAGCCTACGTCCATGTTTTAAATCACTCTACGGTATTCTTCAGTATAAAGATATTGATGACCATTATGGGCAACAATCATTTCAAGAAGCATGTAGTTGATATATTTCACAGAAGAAACTGCAGCTTAGCAACAGCTTTTTATTTGCTTTTTTTCTTTGTCGTAAAATACCTGGATTACTCAATGTGTTCATACATAACTTTCCAACCAGCTAACACATTTACAGACTGAATTACAAGTTCCAAGCAAATGTGAAATCATTGATACTTTTTTTACAACGCTTTTAGTGCCACTGTTTGGCTTAGCCTGCAATGAAGTGTTGAGTAGAGTCTGAGTAAATTACTGCTTATAGTTTCTGAGGAAGACACCGGACAATAATTTTCAAGGACAAAGATTGATGACACATCAGAGCATTGCATAGAGTGGTAATCAGTGTTGTCTAGGTTGTAAATTAACCCTCAGATATAGGCCATTCCTGTCTTTGAAATCTGATAGCATGATGAACACACAACAAAATGCACATTTGGTTGTCAGCTTTCTCCATAAAAGGCTGTCAACTCTGGAACAGATTACCCAGATTTTTTAAATTAATCCGCGATATAAATCCTTCTCAACAGTGCATTATCTATTGCATTGTTCTGTTAACGCGCTTGTAAAGCTAACTGCTTGATTTTTCATCCTCTCTGTAATCCAACAATGTAATGCTCTGCCATTGAGGATGTCCAAAGAACACGCTGTCTGCGGCGAGCTCATGGCATCCTTAAAGACTCCTCCCACCCTGCCCACAGACTGTTTACCCTCCTGCCCTCCGGCAGGCGCTTCAGAAGCCTCCGGACCAGAACCAGCAGACTGAGGAACAGCTTTTTCCCCAGAGCTGTTTCTCTACTGAACTCTACCCCCCGAACTCTGAACTCTGTCTCTCTCTCTCTCTCCCTCTCTCTCTCCGCACCCTGCTGACCCCCCTTTCCCCTACATATCACCTCACACCCATCATCGCCCCACCACTCCTCCTGGTCACACACACACATCTCTCATCCATCTGTATTATTGTATTATAGTATGTTCATATGCTGTAAACTAGTATAGCATGCTCACTGCATCTTAATCTGTATATTATTAGTATAGCATGCTCACTGCATCTTAATCTGTATATTATTAGTATAGCATGCTCACTGCATCTTAATCTGTATATTATTAGTATAGCATGCTCACTGCACCTTAATCTGTATATTATAATCCTAAGAACACACTTATTTTGTAACATTACTTATTTATAGCATTTATTTATATTTATAGCATCCCATTAATCCAGCCATCCAGATATACCTCATAATTCACTTTTTTTGTCTACATCTGTAAATTTTGCAATTACTGTACATAGCACAGAATTACTGTACATAGCACAGACTCTTGCACTCAATTACTGTACATAGCACAGAATTACTGTACATAGCACAGACTCTTGCACTTTCTGCTTATTTGCACTTCTGGTGAGATGCCAAACCTCATTTCGTTACTCTATACTTGTATATGTGTAATGACAATAAAGTTGAATCTCATCTCATCTCATCTCTTGTCATGATTTGGTCTTGTTTAGTTTTGTATTTCAGTGTTTAGTGTTTCTTTATGTTCTAGTGTGTTTTGTTAATTCTTGAGTTCTGTGTGTCTTCATGATTTAGTTTTGTAGTTGTCCTCAGTGTTTCTTGTATTCCTGCCTCTGTGTGTTTCCCTCCATGTTGTTTGCCCTGATTGTCCTCACCTGTGTCTTGTTAGTCTCACCTGTGTTTGATTACCCTATGTCTATTTAGTCTCTGTGTTTCTTCCCCCGTGTCAGTTCGTTGTTGTTTGTTGGTGCGCATGTTGTATGTCAGTTTACTTGTGGCTCCTTAGTTTCCTCTGTTGTATTTTTGAAGTAAGTTTTTTGTTTAAAGAATAAATAGTTTTTGTTAATTCTGCATCTGGGTCCTCCTCTTAGTTTTCTCGATCCATAACAGCTCTATAAGTTCTGTCATTTCTAAATTTTAACAGCAGACAAAAACACAAGTGTAAATTGAATCATAAACAATAGTTTCTGTCATTTAAGGCCCTCAAGCAGGGGCTAGCTGGCTCTCTGTCCATTGTGGACGGATAGCTTTAATACACAATACAATAACACTGAAACATTAGCATCCAAATGGTAGGCAGCCATCACTCATTTTACTAATTTCACCAGCGCTTTCTTGAAGTGGCTTGTCAAAAAGTATTTCATAAAATGAAATTTTCATTTAACTGGCCAAACCAGCATATTTCAGACCACCATTGAGCTGACTTTGGCTGCTGACACGCAGCTGGCTCTCTGCCCACTCTCAGTGCCGTGAGAAATGTAATGTTAGAGCAGTTGATGTTGTGACTTGCAGCCTTCTGTTCTATAACTATCAAATATTTGTGTTTACACAAGATGTAAAGCAATCGTTCTGACAGTTGGAATAAATATAAAAAAACATAATCTGGAAAACAATCTGGAAGTCAATGTGTGTATGTGTAGCATCTCGTATTCTGTTTACCAGTAAACAGGTCAGTCAAGGAAAACAAAGTTTATCTACAGCTCATCATGTTGTCTTTGCAAGGCCACTACCAGTTTGAAAATAGTAAAATTACAACTATTTTGTTGAATTCCAGGTCTTTAATAACATATTGTATTTATGTAATATAGATTAATTTTAAAAATATGTGTACATATTTGAATAATGCAAACACCGAACTGCTACATTATAACTACAATTGATGACTCAGGCAGTGAAGTTTGTCCCATAGAACTTTAGTCCACTAACCGTACAATGGAGCAGTCACCCATGTGCACCAGGAAAAAAATAGAAAAAAAACATGGATTTCCTGTTGGTCATTTCAAGCCATTTTTTGGATTGACAGTTGGTGATGGCAATAAGCCAACAAAGAAAGTTACTGCGCCAACAAAAGGCAGGGAAGAAGACTGCAGAGCAAATATTAAGGGCTGTAAACAATGAACAAATCAAAAAATAGATTATAATTGTGACTTTGCAAATGTTCCAGGGAGGAAGGATGACAATGCAGTCCTTTGTTTACAAGAAAACTCCCCAAGGCGTCTTTGAGAGTCATTTGGGAATTAAGGAACTACTTGGTGTAGAAGGTTTTTCCCATGATTGCAGACATTTGATAGAACTGCAGATGCATTGTCGTACTATGCATCAACAGTTGCCCTTTCTTTGGCTAACCTCTTCTTTTAACTATTGTTTCCATATTAAGCAATGGACTAAAAACTAACAATTCTCCTCTTAACAGAGATTAGCTGGGTCAGAGCCCAACCCAAAACAATTCCACAACCATGAAAGTGAACCTCCAATTTTGCGAATAAAGCATTGAGTGTTTCACAAAAAGCACTCAGTAAAAGGGATAAAAAGATCATAGTTTGCTGAGCCACGTCTAATCTCACTGCACTTTAACCAGTACGACAGGATTGTGCTCTATAGTTTATTTAAGATACGGTTTGATGTCCTACGCGCTCCGTTTTGCAGCAGCAATTACACATTCATACCTCTGCTGCCCACATCTCTAGGAAACATTTTAGTTGAGATTTAGGTCTGTCATTTGCAAATCTCTGAGGCAAAGTCCCACACCCACGTTCCTGCTGTTGCTATATATTTGTCAAACAGAGCTACAACAGGAAGAGAATGAAACAATGATCCATCAACAGCAGGAAAGACCGAAGGAAAAGCGTCCAAGTAAAGGGCAGATTAGATGTTATTCAATTACTTTTACAGAAACTCATAACTTACCATCTTTACATGATAGGGAGGATAAGAAAGCGATGTCTCAGGAGAGATTTGAAAAAGGCAAATGTGTACATGAATTTGTAATTCATCATTATTGCGACAACCTTTGCCTGACGTGAACCACATTTGTACAAGAAAAATGAAATCAGAGACCCTGATTTAAGTAGTAGTACAAGCTGTTCAGCTGTGTACAGCTTGACATTTGCCCCCAAAAATATTTTCAAACTTAAGTAGATTCTAGTGAAGTATTGTTCGGGAAAGAGTCAGCTCCGGGAGTTGTCTCCTTTAAGTAAACAGCCGAAACGGGGAGCAGAGGGTTTTTTTTTATTTTTGCATGATAACAGTATTTCAACCAGATCCAATATATGATTTGATTCAAATTAAATCATACAAAATGAATTCAAGTTGTGCAATCATTCATTTGTTAGCACACTTATTCTTGCAGTTAGCCCTCTTTCTAAGTCATCAATACGACCGGGTATTTCAATGTTGAAAAGAATTCAAATCTAGTAAATTTGTTTTTTGCGACAATTAAGACAATACGCTTTAGTGATCCATAACAAAACATGTGATAGTGTTTGATTTAAGGTTTTCATACTAAATCTACTGTGGAATAATGGTATTCTTGAAATTATAAAGCTTAGTTTGGGAGCAGAAAA